ACGTTGAACCTGAATGCTGCGGGGTATACCCTCGAGGGTTATGAGCGGTGGAGAAATTATGCTTGACCTGCATCTCGGTATGTTGATCCCCGAGAGATCTGCAATCAATTGTCTTTGAATTATCGTGCTTCGTCCTACAGAGGTATTCTCAAAGATATATAGGCAGCCGCAGCATATCCAAGCTGGTGAGACCACAGTTTGTATATTTCGAACGACAGGACCATGACCTAGTCTTCATAGAGGACACCGGAGCACTGTACTATAGTCTGCGTCTGTATATGATGTCTTGGATCTCCTTACTGATGCATGAGGACGTAACACACATGAGAGGAATGATCAGTCAAGATGGAAACTGTCCAGAAGACTAGAGGATTATTTCACACATCGCAGGGCAGCAGAATATTTATATTGAGTTAGGGCCAGATGCCTGCATACGATTGCTCGTCAGAGCTGACGTCGTAGTCTAATCCGATTAGTCTTTTGGTTCATACAGCTCTATAATAGGCGCAATGCCGTCTATCAGAGGACTGACTGAATCCTTCAACAGTTGTAAGAGTACAAGACCAATTTCCAGGAGGGTTGTTGGCTATCCTTCAGTCCGAAAATAACACTGCCAAGTCCCAGTAGGTCGTTAAACCGCCTATCCACATCGTATCCTTCCGTAAACGATATAGATCAGGCCCCATGCTCGTATTGTTCGTATTCGTCGATATCTTACCGTTTAGAGAATTAATTCTCATTTACTGAGAAGTTATATAATTTGCCGTTCACTTCTCGTCATGATTATCGCTGATCATACAAAATGACTCCGCTCTTCAAGGTCGGCAGCCTTCTGGCTGCATTTCTCTGGATCACCTTTGGCATCGCCACAGCCAACGCCAGCATTCCCTCATCCAAACGCTTCGATATATCGGCCCCATCCTACGACCTCTACCGTCACAAAACCCTCCGCGATAACACGGTCCAGCAAGGATTCGCCTTTGACAACGTCAACCGACGTCTTTTCGTGGCCCAGCGCCGCGATGGCTCCTCCGAAACAGCAGGCGACCTGACAATCACTCAGCTCGACTTTGACGGCAACTACGTCGGACACATGTACCTGAAGGACTTTGGCCATGGCGTCTCGTTCGGCGCGCAGGCCGTCGGGTCCGCAACCTACCTCTGGACCGAGGTCGAGGCCAACGCCAACGGCTACGGCAAGAAACTTGCCCGCTTCAAGTTCGCCTCCGGCAGCACATTGACCAGCTCCTCGGCCGGCCTGGCTAAATTCCAGCCCGTCGCCGATGCAACGGAGCATACCTGCGCCATTGACCCGGTCTACAACCGGCTGATCGTCCGGTATCACCTCAGCGGTGCGAAGCATATCGCCGTCTATGACCTCGCCGCCACGACGAGGGGCGATTTCTCGGCCCCGCTGGTTAACTTTAAGCAGCCGGCGTTGAACGCACTGTCGTCGACTTTTCAGGGCTATGCGGCGTATGGACAGTATTTGTATCTGTTGACAGGGACTTCGTATGCGGCCAGCGGGGATAAGGTCAATTCCGAGGTTACCAGCGTCGATATGAACACGGGCAAGGTGGTGCAGGGGCCGACGCTCACCAAGGCAGGGTCCACCCTGGAGTATAGAGAGCCGGAGGGATTGGCGATTTACAAGACAGCTGCTGGAGAAGTGAGGTTGTTCTTGGGGTTTGCTTCGGGGGTTGCGGGTGATCGCAGGTCGAATCTGTTCTACAAGAATGCGTTGGCTTAGGTTGGTCGCAATCTAGTTAATTTGTGAGGGATTTGCTTATACTGTATAAACTTTCGGTTGTAGACACTCGGTACTAATTGACAGCTGATCGTGAGTAACCTGGCTTTCTGAGTGCCGAGACTGATATCACCGGTCTCGAATAGAAACAGCTACGTAGGTCGTTTAACCGCCGAACTTCTGTGTCTGCCGTCAGTCTGGAATAAGTAAATAGTCTGAAGCATGTTCGCAGACGATCCAAATGCAAGAATGTGCCCTCTATTATGTCCTAGCCTTCTGTAGAACGTTCGGTCGAAGGTCTGTTGTCTGGACAACAGGAGACTACTGCAACGAGAACGGGGACAGTAGCTGGCATTAGAACTCCCAAATGACATATTCCAAGGGTGTGTATTCTGGAAAGCCTCACTAGKAAGTTGATGTCATTCCGCATTCTTCAATGGGGCTGTCCTGACTGGAATGTTGACAATAAAGTGGCGTGGCCGCATTCGGTAATCGACACAATCGTTAAGGGACTTGTCACATTCTTCCTAGCTTCTAACACCAAATGACGTAGTCAACGTCAAGTAGAAGTGTTTGAAACGGTGGAGTCTACCAAATGCGTCCTGCGTTCCGGTAGAGTGGTTGATATAAAGCACATCTGGGGATAGTTTCAGATCTGATGACGCGACGTGGGTCCCGTTATGCTTTCCGTAAAATGACGTCGGCTGAATCATGGGCTTTTGTAGATTATCTGCAAAAAATATGCATGCTCTCGTCAGGTACACCTACATCATTGGGCGTGACTGTTGCAATGCGGAAATCACACTCGAAGCCATTATCAGCAGGGATATAAAGTACTCGACGAACGGCGTCCTGTGGATAACATGAAGCTATACACAATCAACATGAAGATAAAGATGATTATACCTTCAATTCCCGAAACCATCCCCGAGCACTCCGAGCTCAAAGGGAAAGCACCCCTGCGGGATATCTCTGGCATTCCAGCCAATCCGCGGCAGACCATCCGAACCCCCTCGTGGGATCTCACATCCACATGGTTGATCGGCGCCAACGACGACATCCACGCCTGGTGGGACTGCATCGGTCCACAGGTGGCCATTCTCGCCGATGAAGCGGGATACAGAGTGGCTGCGCAGACGGAGATCCTCCTGCTGCTGCACTCCATAGTGCTCCCGGACATGGGCCGATTCCCTCCAGTGGGATTGAACAGACCAGCCGTGCAGTACAGCTGGAAAATCAACACGAACGACTATGACCATCCGATCGTCAGCCTCACAGTGGAAGCGCCCGGCGAGCATGCCAAGGGCTCCAGCAGTATGACCCGGCACCATCTCCAGGCCACGCAGAATATCGTGGAGCAACTAGCGGCACAACTTCCCCCGGTCGACCTTACATGGTACCGGCATTTCGTGGCTGCGTTCCAGATCGACCATCATACGGACCACTCCAGCCATCACCGGACGTTCCTATGCACGGACAAGGACATCACTCGGCCGCGGATGCCTGTGTCATTCGAGTTTACCGAAACTGGCGTCATCCCAAAGGTCTACTTCTACCCTCCTGCGCAAGCGCACGAGATGAAACCTTCCCTGGCCATCTTCACTGATGCCATCCGGCCCATTTCGGAGACCATCCCCCTCCCGGCTTTCGAAGAGCTCGTGGCATTTGTGGATAATCATCCGGTGGGGGTGACGCTCAACCTCGAAATGCTGGGCGTCGACTGTGTCGAGCCCGCACAGGCATCGCTGTATCTGCATGCCAGCACGCCAGTCACGAACTTTGAGAGCGTCATCGCCATCATGACGCTCGGCGGACGCGTGCACGCAATGGATATGGCGATTATGGAGCTATGGGAGCTGCTGTGTTTGGTCTTGCGGCCGAAGCATCGAGATAGGATGTTCTCGTGGGGCGACGAGTTGCCTGTGTGGAATGCACATGCGCAGGGAGATGAAGAGCAGGGATTGAAGTACTGTTTCGAGATTCTGCCTGAAGCGCAGGTGCCCGAGGTTACCCTCTACGTCCCGGTTGTTCGATATGGACCGGCAGATGAAGATGTGGCGGTTGGATTGGAGAGGTTTCTGAAGAAGAGAGGACAGGCGCAGTTCGCTGATGGATTTTGGAGGATATTAAATATGCTCAGCGAGGGTTGGACGGACTCTCGACGCGTTGTGACGCATATCGCGTGTTCCTTTCGCGGTGAGTCATTAGATGTGACTTCGTGCTTGGAGCCTGCTATTTTGCGCTCGCGAGACGATTAGATGATTGACGACAAGCTATGATGTACGATATGTATGGTTAGGAATTTGATTTGGAATTCATGTGCCTCTTAAACAAGCTTGTAGGATGCCTGCTTAGAGGCAAACGCGCCTCCAACTAGTCCATGGATGACATGCTTCCGGCCCGAATAGGAAATGCCTGGTCTGCTTGGACAGGCGCTGATCGTCTTGCCCTGCAGGCAGACTGCCGGCATCCGACGGCGGATGTGATTGTAAATCAGTTATTAAATAGACTCTCAGAGACGTCGCATTAGAGTTGTCTCTGGGGAACGAGTGTCGCTTTGAGTTGACTTGGTCACATTTGAACAGTGCTAAGCTAAAGCCATTGATCGACAGGCGCGGGGGGAGTAATCAAACATAATCTCGACTAAAGATCTGGGCTTTCGTGCGAGAGACTTGGAACCTGGCTAGTCGTTGCATGCTTAGCCGGAGGTTTTGCCTCTTTGAATGAGATGGACCGATAGTGTGACGTGGCCTGATCTGATGGCAGCAGCATGCTTGAAAGCAGTCTAGATGAAGCAAAATATTGTTGTAGAATCCGCATCACAATCTTAATAACACCATGGTCAACGCTGAGACATGTTGGTGTTTCTCATCCTTCCACAGACTGAACGCTGGCTCAGCAATTCATTAAGGATCGCAATGACTCGACGCCCCGATCAATTGCGGTGAGGGGCAACGGCTAACTAGCATTACCTATTTCTGTCGACCAATAACATTATCCATCATCGAACTGGCTAACGGGGAGAAAACGGACACACTTGCATCCTTCCGCGTGTCATATCACAGCGGGAGGTGGAGGTGTCAGCGGGTTTGCGGGATTTGATTGCTTTGAACCATTAACTACTTTGGGCTGGTGTCAAACATCCCTGCTGGAGTGTCAAGTAGTGTAAAACGGGTTTCTTAAAGGACACCCTTCTCCGTGACCTTCTCCGTGTTCAGCTTGCCATCTTCGAGAAACAGCTTGACTGAACAAAATGGCGGAAGGAAATGGCACCTCGGTTCCCAACAGAGGAACTCTGGAGGTGGAGGTGAGCTCTTCTCATGGTAGCCGAATGGAGCTGCAGATCTTGGTCTCATATCATTCTCTAGGATGACGAGCATCTGTACTCGGATGATTCGGGCTCTTTCGTTAATAGGTGCGTATGGAACGACGACACAACTTCGCCTTCACCTAATAGAAAACGCAGCTCCGGCGTCAGCGAAACAACATCTGTCTCCTCCAGCGTTCGCAATTACCAGTAGGTGTGAATCCATTAACCGCACCGCGGCCACTAACAATGCCAGGTACGAAGTAAGTTCTATAAAATAGATTTCTGATGCAGGACTGAGAACGCAGAACGGTCGCCGATATCACGCATTCCGAGAGGGCGCATACAACATGGTACGTCTTTTGATCTCCAAGCGAGGGGTTAGCTAACAGTCAACAGCCAAATGACGAGGAAGAACAATGTCGTTTAGATCTGGTACTTGTGGCATTATCAAAAGGCAATACACGACTAACCCTGGAAGCACCACCATATCCATCGGTTGAAGCTCGACGGACAGCTATTCCGCTCTCCCATCCCTAGCGATGTCTCCCGAATCCTCGATCTGGGAACAGGCACCGGTATCTGGGCAATGGAAGTGGCCGAGTGAGTCTATTCCCGTCGATGAAGTCGCTCATGCTAATGTCGTAGTGAATACCCCAAGGCGAAAGTTATAGGTAAGTTCGCAAGAACGCGGTGACCATGGCCCGTGTCTGACTCTCCAGGAAATGACCTGAGCCCCATTCAGCCTACATGGTATGGAATGACTGATGACTTTGGAGATGGCCTGCTGATATTCTGGCAGGGTCCCCCCGAATCTCACCTTTGAGGTGGATGATTTCGAGGCTGAATGGGAATACTCCAAGCCATTCGACTTCATCCACGCCCGTGACCTGCAAGGCTCCGTGTCCGATTACGAGCGACTCGTCGAGCGCGCATTCAAGAACCTGGCGCCCGCCGGATGGTTTGAATTCGCGGATGCCGACTTGATCGTTTGCTGCGACGATGGTACCATCAAGGAGGCAAAGAATCTGCTCGAGGCGAATCGACTGATATGCGACGCAAGCGCAAGGTTCGGCAAGACGATGGGAACAGCCAACCAGCACAAGCAGCGCCTTGAAGATGCAGGATTTATCAATGTCCGCGAGGAGATTTACAAGGTGGGTGGGCAGTGAGATAGTTATTGAGAGAAATGGCCACTAACAGAGACACAGATTCCTCTATCGCCGTGGGCAAAGGACCCGAAGCTGAAGGAACTAGGCAAATTCCACCAGGTCAATATGATAGAGAGTCTGGATGCGTACTGTTTCGCTCTGATGACGCGGGTTCTCGGATGGCATATCATCGAGGTGCAGGCCCTCCTTGCAGGCGCCAGAGCGGAATTGCTGAATCGTAACATCCACATGTATGCTCAGTGGTATCATGTCTACGGCCAGAAGCCACAGGATTAGAAGATTAGTGGTTAGAAAAGCAAATAAAATGCCCTATGGGTCCCTCCCATACTCACTTGAGCAGTCACTAGCTGGAAGGGTTGATGTCCGGTGACAGAAAGATACCCTTCTTTCTCAACACTTTGTACAAATCCGAGAGGCGGACACCCCTCTTTCAGTTTCTTCCTATTTCTAATTCCTCTACTCGATGTGATATATGTTGTAAGTTGCAAACGTCTCTCCTAACCATACTTGGATCGCGCGAGGACCCATTCGAAACACTTGACCATCGGAGTATCTAGGTGCGGACATGGACCGTGTAGCTGTCTGACTTGCAGGTGTCCAACCTGGTCGCAAGTAACGTCAAGCAGATGACATCAAGCAGATAGGAAACACGACAATTGGCCGTTTGCCTTCGGCACAAGAGGCGAGATCAAGCCGGACAGGGTGCTTATGAGTCTGCCAGCACACGTCCGACAGGGTCCAATTTATACTACGTCACTGTTGCAGAATATTAAACACATCTTGGAGCTACTTCTTTTCTTCCCTAATGCCAGAAATAAACTTTTATTTGTTTCAACTAAATGACAGTACTTTTGTGTATTCCGATTCCTTGACCATTAGGTCGGACCGTGCCCGTGCCCTAAGCACAATGGGCGGACAGAACCTCATCGTCCTCATCCACCTGGATGTTCAGTCTAAAGGCCATACAGTCAGTCACAGCTACTGTAGCGCATAGGGCCGAGGAAATAGTACCTGGAAGCGTTGTACTCCATGGTGATAAAATCTCCTGGGTGGAGGACGCGAATGGGCTCCGATTGCAGCGCATTTGCCTACTTAGGGTCAGCTTCGTCCTGACACGGAGTATCTCAAACACATACCATGGCCTCGGAGTATTTCTGGCCGACCATCTCCTGCTTCACAAACTGTGCTTCCTTTTGGCAGGTTTTGGGGTTGGCGAGGGCGGACTGGAGTCCAGCCAACGCAAGGAGGCAAGCAAGGGAGAACTTCATGGTGATCAAGGGTTGGATGTTTGGAAGTTTGAATGTTTGAATGTTTGAGTGAATTGAGTGGATTGAGTCAATGGAGGATTGCTGCTGATGGTTTCTGGCAGACTGGACTGGATCTTGCCTGGTTTTTATATCTTGAGGACTGTCCAGCGCCACCGCGAGGTTGTACTGTGTTGCTTGGCATGTAGTCCTTGGCATGTGCAATATATCTACATAGTTGAACTAGATCATCACACTTGCCACTCTACAAGCACACAGATGACAGATGGATGACAGTCGGCCAAGACGAGGCATTTCTTCGATGTGAAAATTTTCCCTGTCGGAGTGGTATTGATGGTACTGTCAGGCCATTCATTCACCTGCATGTCTAGAAAATCGCAAGGGATCCTGGTATTTCCATTACTCAGACGTACATACAGGGTATCATCGTGACGCAGAATTTACAAGGTTGTGCCATCTAGACTCGACAAAATTTTCATGCTTGAAGCAGCTGGACTTCGAGACCGCTCTAGAGAAGTTTGTAGCGTGAACATGAGCTTGGCATTGCATTGACAGTCAGTTACAAATTATCCAGCCCAGGCTGTGTTGACATTCCTCGAGTCGGCTATAGACGGACTGTTGAAGTCGATTAACGCGACTAGGGTATAGTCCGCTACTAACCGACCGCAGGCGAGGTCCTTATGCATGATAAATATGCAACATGCAGATGGCCTGAGAATGACAACGTCCTGAATTCGGAAGAGATCTCATAATTCCCTGAGTCCCTGGTCAATTCAGGGGCCCAGCATGGCGAAGGAACTGTCCACGTTGGCTATCGACTGGCTATGCCGCCGTGTGAGCAGTCACTGACCAGGAGCCTACGTCGTCGCTGAACCAATGTCTTGACGTAACTCATTGGTAATTCATTGCTCAATGGGCATAACCATTACTACCGGCAGGGGTATGCCCACACTCCGAACGCCAAATCAATCTTCTGCTCTCCCTCTGATGGGCTTCGAGGATGCATCCGACCTCTGATCATCCTGATACGAGACACTCACATCCGTCATCCGTATGATTTCATTCGTCTCAGTCTTCCTGCCTTCGACGTCACACATCTCGAACCCCTGCGTCGACACATTGTTCGAGTAACTGCCGCCGCTACCATGCAGCTCTCGCCAGGCCATATCCTTTCGATCCTGCAGCGAGAGACTTCTCCCGGGCGTCTTGTGTCCTCGTCCGCGGGATCGGTTGACTGAGGGATCAGCCGAGTGCTGAGAACCGAAAAGGCGAGGCAGACACCACTTCAGCGGTTGGTGGTAGACGGGGAGACAGGCGCAGATGATCCCGACGTTGGCTTCGATGACGCTCCAGATTGTAGCGGGGATGGGGCCGCCTACATTGTCAGTGTGCTTCGTTGCTTTGGGTGGTCAGGACCTACTGGTAGGGTCTTTACGTGTGTCGTTTGCTGATTCTGCAAGAGTGGTTGTCCGAATGATGCTCGTTATGCAAACACTGATTGGTTAGCCCGGATCATTTAATGAATGTGGGAGGTGGCATACAATGTCCCCATGCCAAAGATCACTGCCAGCGCAATCTTCTTCCCTTGGGCCAAATGTAGTTTCGAGACAGGGTAGATCGGCAGCGCGAGGATGGCCACGTCGCAAACGATGTTGATCACGGCATACGACAACCACTGCGCTTTGCTATTGACACAGGACTTTTTGGCGATTGTCTTGTCCCAGAACGCGGCAACGGGCGTACATTGGAAGATGGTAACGAGTATATAGGCGAGACCCCAGGCGGAAAGAAAGGCAATCCCGCCGTAGCAGACGCGGCGGAAGACGGGCTGGATGAAGATGCGAAGGTAGAGACACAGGAAGGAGATCTTGTTGACGGTGATGACGACTTTATATACGATTTGGGCGCCATAGAACCACTTTTGTCGTCAGCCATCAATTACTACGGAGGCAATGTATAGTTCATACCTTGAGAGCTTTGACTCGGTCATCAAGGGCGATGTCTTTCAGGTGCTTTCCGTACCCATAATGCACCGCTACAAGAGTCAATAAAGCCCAAGAATGAGGGGGGCGACTCCTTACCAGAACACTCGGTCACCGTCAGCAACACCGATGATATCTGTGATTGTCAGCAAACGTGCGTCAATGCGAGGATGATCATACCAACGACGCGAGAATCACCCAGTCATCGGTCCCAATACGGCGATTGTGACACCGAATCGCAAACCGGCCCAGCACAAAGAAACCGGCCACAATCACCATAACCACACTCCATATCCAAAGTGTGAAACCGCGATTGGGCACAGTAGGTGTGCTCAGTCCAATCTCGTACGCCATGTCAGGCAGGATTCCTCATCGTGAATCATGCTGCCGATAGAAGGATCCGTGCCATCTATCTATGTTCTCAGCAGAAGACCCCTTGGCTCGTGTTCATGATGATATTTTCGAAGGATTCCGGACGGAGTCCGCAATCAAAATCAATCAATCCTTAGCGCGTCTTGATCCTAGCCGGAAAATGCCGCGATTTGTGGGAGTGTCCGTACCATTATCCTTATTTCCTACGCGACGCCGGGCAGATCGGCCACGAGCCATGGAAAGCGGCCCAGGTGGATTGATCAGGGATGTTCCACGACGCCCATCCGACGATTGGATCCTACTCTAATTGCCCCGAGACATGGTCCCTGCGCTATCGAGCAAAGTGGAAGGGGGCTTGTCCTAGCTGTGCTCCGTCGGTCCACTTGGCGGAGAATTGTCCCGTTTCGGACTGGATCGACACTTTGGATTAATTGAATTACGAGAAATATCCCAGTAATAACTCCGTATATTAACCTAGCTCTGATGCGATCCAGTGCAGTCTCTTCAACCTGTGCAATCCTTGTCGTTAATTGCTTTTTCGCTGGACGGGTTGCGCTATGGTTCATTTCAGCGTTTGGATCTCCCTGGGTGCTGCCCTTTTGGCCACCTCTACTCCAGCGTATGCCCAATTACCACCCAACTCCCGCGATGCCCCGGGCGCTCGTGTAAGGACCAGCAGTGGCTTGATTGAGGGACATGTCGCATCGCGACCTGGGGTATTCGAGTACCTGGGGATCCCTTATGCTGCTTCGCCCACGGGAGACCTCCGATTCGCTCCTCCGGTCCAATACTACGGCAATGGCACCGTCCTTGCCAATGCTTATGTATGCTGCATAATGCAGGGTTCCAGGAACAGACTAACACTTTTGTAGAGCCCGTGTGTGACCCCGGAGACAATCCGAGTGCTCAGTATCTGACCGTTATGATAGGGATTGTCCCGCCAATATTGGAAGCGTCCCGGCTTTCCCCGGCCTGACGCTGCAAGCACCGAATATTATCAGAACCTTTGCTCAGCAATTGGGGACTCCCCAGAGCGAGGATTGTCTCTACTTGAATGTATGGGCTAAGCCCACACGCAAGCTGAAACCGGTGTTGGTTTTCATCCATGGTGGTCGTATGTTGTGCACCACGTTTGTCGTATACAGCACCTACTAACGACCGCAGGATTCAGCGTTGGTGGAGCTCACAGCCCCATGTACGACGGCGAGAACTTGGTCGCTGAGAATGATGTCGTCGTGGTCAGCTTCAAGTCAGTGATTAGCTCCCGTCGCATTGTGCCATACTAACCGGACAGTTACCGGTTGAATATCTTTGGCTTCTCGGGAGCCCCTGGCCTCACCCAGAACGTGGGTCTGCTGGACCAGCGCATGGCCATTGAATGGGTGCATCGCAACATCGCCGCCTTCGGAGGCGACCCGGACCGCATCACCATCTTTGGACAGTCTGCCGGAGGCGCGTCAGTCGACTACTACTCGTATATCTGGACGGAGAAGCCGCTCGTCCGCGGCCTCATCTCGCACTCAGGCACCGCGCTGAGCTTCAAGCCCAACACTGCCGAGGAATCCGCCAGTTACTTCTACCACGTCTCGAACACTCTAGGCTGCGGCAACAGCACCGATCCCATTGACGCGGTGGTAGAATGTCTGCGCGAGCAGTCGTTCCAAGCAATCCTTGGGGCCGTGAAAAAAGTCCCGTTCGCCCCCTCCCCCGCGCTTCCTCAACCCCAATTCCATCCTACTGTGGACGGCGTCACGGTCTTTGACAACTACGCCGAACGCTCCGCGCAGGGCAAGTTCATCAAAGCGGTAAGCTTCCACACAAACCTGAGCCCCAAACCTAATAACAATCACACTAACGAAGCTAGCCATACCTCTTCACAAGCAACGACAACGAAGCAGGCTACTACCGCATCAACGCCTTTGCTGCGAAGGTCTCGCTCACCGACGAGGAATGGCAACAGTTCAACCTCGCCGCGTTCACCTGTCCGACCGGCCAAGCGGCGGCCGATCGCGCCGCGCACGGTGTCCCTACATGGCATGCGCGGTACTTTGGCGACTTTTGGAATCTGAGACTGTACCCGACCAGCGGGGCTTATCACGGCGTCGATCTGCATATGGTCTTTGGGACGGCGGAGAATGTCACCGGCATTCCTGATTCTTCTGCGGAGAAGCGGACGAACAAGTATATCTCCTCTGCTTGGGTGAAGTTTGCGACGGATCCAGACGGGGGTTTGGATCACCTTGGATGGCCGAGATATTGTGCTGACAGTAAGTGAATCATCGGTTGAATATGAGATGGGATGCTAATGCCAACCAGAGGACACACTGATCGGACTCGCTTATAAGAATGAGACGCGGGCGCAGCTGTTGAATCCGGCTGTGTACGAAGAGGGCTGTGCTGCACTGGACGGCGACACGACTCCAGGGAAGGGGGCTTTCTAGCGATCTGGTGCATATATGGTGGTCAGATTATAGCTTCGGCCGCATAGTGTTCATAACTATCCATGTCCATACGAAGTCTGCTGGAGCAATCATAGATGCTTTTCAGTATCTCATATAGACATCTCCTAGATATGCGTTGGCCTGCACGATTGACAGCGTCCAAAGGATTCATAGATGTTCCACGGTGGTATCGTTGGTATGTTCCGTCAAATACAATGAGAGAAAGTGAGAAATCAGAGAAATGTAGTGGCAGCACTCCTGAGATCCTACGGATGCAGCTTACACCCCGGACAAGGCTCCGGCGGCAGCTCACTATAAAGGATGTCCGGACGTGGCGCACCTGCCACATTCAAATACCCAACCGCCCCCTTATCCATCCGGAATATCGCATGGTCGACAAGCGTATACGTCCCAGGGACGATCATCTTCAGATCGACAATCGCCGCACCGCCCGGTGGCACACTCACCGTCGACAACAACCTAGCCGGGGGATCCACCACCCCTCCATCCCGAAAGACCTCGTGGAAATGGCTCCCGATGACATGGAACGAACTTGTAAGATTGGGCCCGGCGTTCCCAAAGAAAATCCGCACCGACTCCCCCGTCCTCGCCTTGAGCGGTCGATCCCGCGTTAGCGCCGACTCGCTTCCATTGAAGACTACCGCGGAGGGCTCCTCGCGCAGCGCCGCAGGGTACGAGAACTCGACTGTAGACGAGGGCCGGCCGTCGTCCTCGATCTCCGGCGGTTCATGGTAGAACTCGCTCTGTATGACGTAGTATTCCCTGTCCACCGCAGGGAGATCGCCGTCTTCGGGCTGAACGTAGATCAGCCCGTACATGCCGTTGGCGATGTGCACGGGGACCGGGGCGGCGGCGCAGTGGTAGACAAACAGGCCCGGGTAGAGAAGCTTGAAGCGCGCGGTTTTAGTTTCGTCTTCCTCGGCGGTGGTGACGGCTGCGCCGCCGCCGGGGCCGGTGAAGGCGTGGCAGTCGATGTTGTGCGGGTTGCCGGTGCGGTCGTGGTTGGTTAGGCTTAGCTCAATTACGTCGCCTACGCGCGCCCGGATGAACGGCCCGGGGACGCTGTCGTTGAAGGTCCATGTGTCGTACTTGTATTGACTGGTGAGTTGTCGTGTTTTGGTGCTCGTCGTCAGTGGGACGTGGAGAAGAACTGGGTGTGTCCGGGTGATGGGAGGAGGGACGTTAGGAGCAGTGGTCAGAATGGCGTCCTCTCTGGGTAGATTAAGCATATTGCCTTGAGATTCCTCGCCGGTTGGGTAGACTCGTTGAAGGGATGCGTCTGTTTCGAGTTGGATAGGGCGCTTGTGGACTGACAAGAGCAAGATGCTTCCGAGGACAGGAGCAACCAACCATGGCCAGACTTGTAGACGCTCCTTCGGCCGCTTCGATGTTGGATTTGCTGTCGTCCCAGTCGACAGTTTTCTCTGGGCTAGACTACGCCTTCTTATCAACATCCATTCCAATGGAGGGCCGCTTCTCAGCCACAGCCTCCCAAACAATGCATATCTGGACATTTTTGAAGTTTCAACTTCGAACTGCTCTCTAGAGTCTGGATATCAAGGTAAATCGTGCTGGTAGTGGATATGTATAAGTAGTCGGGGGGTGATGTCATGAGTACATTTCCGGCGATTGCAAAGTTGAACAACTCCGCGGACTATAACGTCCGCGATACTTGAGCAGTGTCTGTCCCTTTCAGATTTGTTGACTTCTTCTCAGTACTCAGTAGTTCTGTGGGCTGTAGTTTAAGCTCTGCAATCCGCTTGGACAAGGAGACGTGGCATCAGGGTCCTGCCAACGTCGCATCTCGCCATATTCGCTGTCTTTCCTCCATTTATCCCCAGAGCAGAGCGTCTCTGCGACGACGCCAACCCATTCATATTATTCAGAGGTGCATTGGCAAGACTACCACGATATGACAATACTCGATTCTTTCAGAAGATTATCCAGGATGTTGTTACGCCGTTGTACTTTGGATTGATGACATAGAGCGCGGTCACTAGGATAGTGGGCTGGCACTTCACTGAAGAACATGTGCTTTTATGACAGTTGATATTGCAATCATGTTCAAGTCTAGCCTACCGGATTAATCTCGGCAACTTGTTTATTTCACTAGTATTCTATATCCAAAGATGCCATGAGAAACGCCAATCGACATCTGTTGTCGGCTTTCGGCTATGATCTCCGTTCTATTTAAATGACCCCGCCGCTGTGTCCGCCCCTCAATTATCGAATACCTCACGTCAGTCTTTGACGACTGTATAGACAGGAAGATGGCAGACTACACGGAATACAGTATACCTACGGAAGAATGGACTGCGTTGGAGAAGACACTTCCACCGCCGGCCACGAACTTGGACGTCCAAGCTATGAAAGACATGTTCAACCAAGCTCGCGAGGAGAGGGCCGCTACCGCCATGGTGAATGAAGGTATGTCAGACTGCGATATGAAATGCATCTACTGACACAGTCAGGACTGCAATCGCAAGTCTCAATGCAAGACTATTCTGTCCCAGCAAGGGACGGCTTTCCGTTAGAAGCACGCAGCTACCGTCCTGTCGGTTTGCCATCCTCACAGCGCCTCCCGGTCTACATCCATCTACACGGCGGGGGGTTTCTGTTCGGCACTCTGGCCTCAGAAGACGCCATTTGTTCCCGGATAGTCGCAACTTTGGCCAAGGAAAATACTCCTGTCGTGGTGGTGAACGTCAACTACCGCCACACCCCGGAGTACAAGTACCCCATCGCCTGGAACGATGCTGCAGACGCCTTCCACTGGGTTCACGACCATCTGACGGAGCTGGGTGGTGATGGCGACAATGTCGTCGTCGGAGGCATCTCGGCCGGCGCATGGATGACTGCCTCCCTGACACTGGCGCAGCACCTTGGCACGGACGAGCAACTGGCCAAGCGACCGAAAATCAAAGGACAGGTGCTCATGATCCCGCCAGTGGTGGGCCCGGGCTGCTATGCGCCGCAGCTGAAATACCTCAAGGATCCGAAGTTGTCCAGTTACGTGGACTGCGAGCATGCGCCGATTCTCCCGGTGAGCCGGATCCACTTGTTCATGGGCCTTCTGGAGGCCAAAGGCGACGAGACAGACCTGACGCTCAACCCGGGAAATGCCACTGCGGAACAGGTCCGGGGATTGCCTCCTACGACGTTTGGGATCGCCGGCCGGGATCCACTCCGGGATGAAGGGCTCTTTTTTGCCAAGTTGTTGACAGATAATGGGTGAGTCGGAGTCGAGCAGCAGTCATCGTGGGCCAGTATACTAACTGCAGCAGGGTTCCCACCGACGTTAATGTCTTTCCTGGTTTACCGCACAGCTTCCGAGCGCATGCGACGCTGTCTGAATGTAAGCGATGGGATTCGGTCATGGCGCATGGAGTGCAATGGGCGTTGAGCAAGCCGGCTGCTACGGGGGTGTTTGAGATCAAAACAAAGTAGTAAACTTAGGTTTTGGTTCGTCTAGGATAATGACATTCAGGTATATACATGTAGTGTATGTCAGTTAGCCTTGGGCCCCAGTCTCTGCATGTCTCTTGACGTAGGTCTCGAGCAGCCCCGGATTGGCGCCGACCACCTTGTCCACATATTCGCCCCCTTGGAAGAGATAGAAACTGGGCATGGACGACACTCCCAACTCCTGTGCAACATCGGGAACTTTGTCGACGTTGAACTTGAAGAATTTAACATTGGCGTACTGGTTGCTGAACAGTTCCACCTTGGGAGCAATGGCCTTGCACGGGCCGCACCAGTCTGCGTAGGCGTCGACCAGCACCAGCATGTTGTCTGCAACGGCAGACCGGAATGCTTGTAGACTATGATGCTGTTAATGCTGGACTATTTAAATAGATAGGTAACATACCTGGTTAGTTCTTCGACGCCCATTGTGATTGCTTGTACGGATTTATGGAGTGTAGAGAGTAAGGTGGTTAAGGGAAGAAAAGAGATTATTACGAGAGGAACTTGTTGGTGCCCGAGGCATGACATCACATCTAGTTAGTTACAAGGCACCGACTGAGTCATCACAATTAGTAAGAATGCATTACTATGCACAAACACCGCATCCCAAGATATAGCAAGTTTATGCACATGGTATGGACAATAACTAGACAAACTCTCAATCCATTCTCCTTTCTACTGCCAAGTCAAAACATCATCATAGTCCACGAGCCTATGGAGCAGCGCAGGAACCGCTCTTGCAAACCAAGTTGTCCGAGCAATCGTCGTCGCTGGAGCAAGATGCGCCCACACAGTGTCCTGCCCAGGAGCATTTACCGGTAGAGGTCGGCTTGGTCGTGGTTGTGGTCTTTGTGGGTGGCGGAGTTGTTCCTGAGAGGTCCAAGTTGGACGCCAGCGCGTTGACGAGCTTGTCGCCCATGCTGCGCAGGGTGGTAAAGTTGGTGATGTAGTTTTTGTTCAAGGCGCTGCTGGGGAGCACTGCATCCTTGCCGGTGAAGACGATGTCTGCTTGCATTAGCTTGGAAGAGCAATGGCTGAAAAGAACATACAGGTTACATCGACACCGGTGTGGCCGTTATTACCGTTCAGACCCTCGCTGGGGAAACAGGTTCGGGCCATCAGCCAGGATGCCTCGCCGGTGACCTGGGGGCTGTCACCGTTGGAGTCTCCAAGGATTCCGTAGAACATTTTGCCGTTGCTAGACATGTCAGTAGTGTTGCATCAGCGGACGAGGACGCGACGCACCAGATCACAGCAGCAATGTTGTTGCCAGGAAGTGCGCCGGTATTGGCCGACAGGTACTTGTCCGGAATAACGATAAAAGGCACCTCATATGCAGATAGGGCGCCCCAGTTGGTTTGAGGTTGTCCATCCGGATTTCCCTATTTGCATCAGCAACGAATTGGCAATGCGCGGGTCCGAACCCACCTGACATCCAGAGTCGAGCCCATCGCAATCGACATCCATGTCGGCGACCCAGGAGATGGAGGCGCCCTCACTGAATGACGCCCAGTCGGTGTGGATGGTCGACTTGGCCGCACCAGAGTCCGGACTGACAGGGTACGTGGCCAGCGGGGGCACCTTGGTGGCTTTGGCGGCCGCTGCCTGAAGGGCTGCCACAGGGATGGTCGATGCAGCCTCGAAGAAGCTGGCTGGAGGTCCTCCATTGGGCTTGTTGTAGTCGGCGCCATTGACAGCCTGGCCCACGGCAGAGTTGCACAGAGCCAGTGAGATGGCCAGTTGGCTGATGAAGGTTTTGGACGGCATGGTGTTATCCGAGGTATTGCGTTGGGAAGTGTTCTGGTGATGTCTGTCTGCTGGTCATGGCCAAAGAAGAGGTATATGGTGCCTTTTTATATTGTATCCAGAAGCTATAAGCTGCTATTGTAGCCAGGATATAAGTGTGTTGTTGCTGCGGTTTGTATCCCGCTGGCTGAAACATGGCTTGAGCGGATCCAGCCGCTGATTGGGGATCAGATGTTTCACTGGAGATTTGATGCCAATGGGACCCTCGAAAAAAACCCTTTTCGGATTGGTCAGCGTAACATTCCCATTTTTCGCCCCCATTTCAATATTCAATGGACGGCGAATCCGGACTTGTGTCGCCAATTCGCCGGTGGTTACACACACCATGTCTTCCTTGAAGAATTCTTAGTGGACACCGGGCAATAGCATTCATTTGCTCCTACCGTTCTCCATACTCCTCTGATCTGCCGGGAAAAAGCTTATTTGTCAAGGTATCCGCAAGCTGCCTCTTCGAGTGAGGTACACCTCGTAATGTATAGGGGATAGGGGCAGCGGGAATACATATCCACCGTACTCCGTACAGCAGAACTACGTGGATAGAGGGCAGCACATCTGTTCTGAAAAGATAGTAATAGTACATTTTCCGTATCCATCGGTATCCAACTCCTCGAGAAATAGATTTCTTTGGTAATGCTGGCATAATGGCTTAGTCCTTGGCCTTGCAGCTTTTGCAGCATGTCTCAGCCTCTGGGTCCCGTGACTGCGCGTTGCACGTGTCGTGAATGTCTCGGATCCCCGTCAGCTTGAGCGGCTGAGAATGAGCTAAGACTGCCAAGATCAGCTTAGGTTTGTTGCCAATCATAGTTTGTTCGTGCACCGTTCATCACACGTATACCAAGTCATCCGGTGCTTGGTATACTTCTTTTCGGTCCCATTCCGATAGTCAAATGTCTGACGGGAATCCGGACTTGTGTCGCCTCTTCGCCGGTAGCTGCACAGTGCCTGATTTCCTGGTAAACTCCCAGAAAAATAGTCATTCCTCCGGTCCAAATGGCTCGTGTCAACAGTTCCATTTAGACTGGTTTACCCAATCCACAAATCCATATCCAACCCACCCAATCCACACTTTGGGTTGGATAAGGGTAGGCCCTCATCCAACCCACATGTATATGGGTGGATGATACCCAACCCATATGGGTATGGATAACCCATTTGGGTGCACATGACCGGTAGAATTTAGTAGGTTTATGGATTTAGTGGTTTATCTAACCCATTTAATCACCCAATTAGCTGTGTCTCTTAGCCTTTTGAAGTTAAATATAAGGTAAGAATTATTAAACCTTTTAGATCTACAGTCTTTAAGTATCTATAATCTACCATTAAGAGATTTAATTATAATATAATAAGCATATAATCCTAAATTTTATTCACATACCAGCTAGTTTATAATAGTGTCCAGGTTGATGTACACTATTATAAAGAGAATATATAGGAGCTAGAGGCTAAGGCTTAGCAGGCTTAGCAGGCTTAGTAGGCTGAACAGGCTTAACAGGCTTAATAGGCTTAGCTTGTAGAGGCCTAGCTAGCTTAATAGATAAAGATAAAATAGACTTAATAGATAAAGATAAAATAGGCTTCACAGGCAAAGGTATAACAGGCTTAATAGGTAGAGGTATAACAGGCTTAACAGGTGAAGATAAAATAGACTTAACAGGCAGAGCTATAATAGGCTTAGAAGGTAAAGGTAAGATAGTAGATATAGCATTGCCATCACCATCTATATTATTAGGGAAAGTAAAAGCCTCATTAAGTAAATTAATATCTTTATTAAAGAAATCAGGATCCTTATAGTCATTAATATATATTTAACTCATCACATCATCCACCTCACTCACTAACTGATTATAATAGTAATATAGATCCTGTTTCTCAAGTAGTTCCTTAGACTTAGAGATATTATATAACTTAGCATAGTCTTAGGTAATAGCAAACCTATCTATATATATCTAGATTATAATTAACTTAATAGTAGCTGTATATAATTGTGCATAATGGTAGTAATAAATATTTTAAGTACTATTAAAAAGCTATTTAATACTAACACTACTAGAAGGGATAGCAAGAAAGTTAGATACTATATAACTAAGTATTAGAAATTATCTAGAATTCTATTACTACTAGTTAAGAATATCTAGGTTTTTAGGGACTTTAGTACCTAATCTCTTAATATTAGATTTAATAATAGTAAGCAGAGGAAATTATATCTTCTTAAAGATAGGTCTCTAACTCTGGATAGAGTTAACCTAACTAAGATAACTATTTTTATTTTTATTTCTAGAGCTCAAAGATAGCCTGCTATAGGCCTTCCTTTTACTTTAGCTAGATAGAAGGGGTGGTAGTATTAGGATATAGGAGGTAATAGTAATAAAAGAGTTCTTAAAAAGTTATAGTATACTTCTTATACCAGTTAATCTACTCCTCTGCCTAAGAGCCCTTCTAAAAAATTAATAGCTTCTAGGAAGGATTAAAAATTATTATAATAGTATAAATATACCCTTCTATCTAGTAAGTATAGCTATAGTACTTCTTTAGCTTATTAGAGGCTGCTTGCAGTGCCTTTACAAGATATCTTTTCTAAGGGGCCCTCTTCTTCTCTATTCTTTTACTTATATCTTTTAGATAAGTAAATAAGATATTATAGACTATGTATATATTATGCACACTAGGTCCTAATATTAAAAGATTTATTATAAAGGTAAAGAATGGATAGAGAAGTTTAATTAGATATTTAAGATGCTTCCACTTAAAATCAGAGAGCTAAAGATACTTAATATTAGGCTGATTCTAAGTATTTATAAAGATATTTACCTTACTTTATAGTTTTAGTGCCTAGCAAAGTATTAAGTATATTAAATTCCATCATATCTTACAGTCTTATAGGAGAAGGTATATCTTTTAAGATTCTTAACCCTTATTATATTAGATTTAAATAAACTTCTATTAGTATTAAGGACTTATATTTATAAACTTAATAATCTTTTATATCTATAGAGAGAAATTATTAGAAATCTATTAATAAGAGATTAAGGAAGTCAAACCTTCTTAAAAGATTATTTTAAGCTAGGTGGACTTTAAAGCTGCTAATCATCCTTAGACTAAGTCTTTATAATCTGGTTATCTTCTAATTTAATATTTAACTAGATTAGGAAAGCTTTTACTATAAGCTAAAGGACATA